CCGTTTTTGTTCTTCTTGGAGAGATTTAGGCGTCATCGCCTCATAAGTAATTGCTCAAGCTTTCTCCATCTTCATCCACGTCATCTCCGCTTTCAAAATACGTCCCAGAATGCGTCCCATTCTTTGCTTCATATTCCGATGCTTTCTTCTACTCCTCCTGTTTCATCGTCTGACAACTCTATCCTCGGCATGGCATGCATTTCATCGCTTCGTCATGAGCCATCTTCTGTTGTTCTTGTGCTGTGTTTGCTCCTCTACATTTCGTTGTTCCGCTTTGAGTTTTAGGCAATCCGATTTCCTGTGCCCATCTTTCCACAGTGGAAGCATTTCCGCTGAACTTCTTCTTCCTTGAAATCCGCTACTGCTCCCATTGTTCCTGCTGAATTTACGTTTGACTTTCCTTGGTACCTTTGTCCGTAGCTTCTTCCGTTCGAGCCTTTCTTGTCTGGGCATCTTGTTGCTTGTGTCCGATCTTCCCACATTCCTGCACTGCCCTTGAATTGTTTTCCTCCAATCATAAAGCTGTTTCGCCATTGGGTCTGTCGACTTGTTCCGTGCTTTAATCTCATCGTAGATTTCGCATAAGTCATCCACCACACTCTTTACCGTTATTTCCATGTCCTGTTGTCTTGATCCTTCGCAGAACATTCTTCTTCACTTCATGATACACTCCGAGTTCTCCTTCCTTCTTCGGCATCTTCTCGAGAAGGTCCTTGATGTACTCTTTCGTCCGATATCTTGAACCCATCCTTCGCTAGCTTCTTGCGTTCACGTCGAGTCCAATCTCGAACTTCTTTGGGTTTTCCTTGATTGTCCATCTTTATCGCGTAGTATTCCGTTCGTCGAGCTGCTACCTCACCACTGTCTTCAGCATCGTAGAGGTCCAGCATGGACTCCACATGCCCTTGAATTTCCAGCAGCATGGTCAGTCGTCTTGGTGTGAGGCCAGTAGGTCGAAGGCGACTTGCCCTTCATGGTCTCCACATTGATCGAATCCAGCAGTATTCCAGCAGCCTTGCTGTCTTCTTCTGCAGACCTTCGATCTTTTCTACTTTGTCGTCCGACAACTTGCCCGTCCTGTAGGGTTTTCCCAGTGTCCGGTTTGATCTCCGTAGAGTCTTTCATCAGTTCTACGTACCCATACTTCGATAAATTGGCCATCATCTTGACCTTGTAGAACCTGAACTTCTCATCTTTCCCATCGAGATGGGATACTTGCTCGAAGATGATACCTCTACCTCCGTAGACATCTTTACTTACTTCTCAATTCTTCTCTTTTCTGTTGACAACCTGGATCCAAGCTCACTTCTTTCCTGATAGCTATTCGTTTTAAAACGTGTTGAAAAGGTGTGAAATTGAACGCACAATTTCTCTAATTTAATCAATATCCTTCCAGCTCTACTGTCTAGTAGACTGGCTATCTGTTTCGTTTTTCTTTCTCTCTCGTTCAGTTGTGAGCTCTACAACTGAGCTCCCATATGCATACATATACCAGGATCTTCGATCCTCTGCTTCTCGCAGTTTTATCTACAGATAGATCTCGCGATCTATCTTCCTGAAGTGCATGGTTGGCCCTGGAGGGCTTTCCCACTTTACTAAACCTATGACCTTCATCCGTCCATTCATTTGCTCCGTCCCATCGCTCTTGCATTCATCTCTTCGACCTAACTTCCTAACCTTTGTAGTTGCATCATCTAGACGACCATGTCCTCGTTCCTCGTACTCCTGGCCATCTGATGATGATCGGATAACCATCTGATTTGAGTCACACATCCCCAATCACGAACCGTGATTGTGGATCCCGAGTCGTCTGTCCGTCATACGAAAATACCTTTCTGACAAACCGTATGGTGTGGTTTCCCTTGCAAGGTTAAGGCTACCGGTCCAGAACCCTTCCTTGGCCTTTAGAAAAATGCAAGTTGAGGGCTGTCCTTAAATTTTTAGCACCTGCGCCCACCAGTGAGTGACTGGACCAGCCCTGAAAGAGTTCAGCAAAAAACATAACACTTCCATCACCAACCATGGCCGCTTCAACAGCTTCCCTGGCTCACAAGAGAGGACATAACCCGTATGACATACAGGAAGGCGCCTGGTTGGCGATGGTTAGTCGCGTTATAAGCAAAAGTCGTTATAAAGTCGCTTTAAAGTCGCAAAAGTCGCTTTTAAAGTCGCGATAAAATCGCTGTAAAGTCACGGTAAAGTCGTGAACCACTTTAAAGTCGCGCTAAAAGTCGCGGTAAAGTCGTTGTAAAATACAGGGTTTTGCACAGTAAAATCGCGCAGAAGTCGCGGTATTCGCAAAAGTCGTGGTAATAGTCGCGGTAAAGTCGCGGTGGAGTGGTGGTGAAGTCGCTAACGACTATAAAGTCGCGAAAGAACGCGACTTTTAGCGTTTTCGCGACTTTCAAGAAAACACGACTTCATTACGTCACCAGGTGCCTTCCAGGTACAATGGTGCTCGTGCATTTCATTGACTGGCTCCTTGACGGGCAAGATCAAGGGGCACCTCAAGACGCAAGATTCATCTGCTCCCGTCCGCTTTGCAACACTGTCTAGCTAGCAGCTAGCTAGTAGTCTACAGCTCAAAGTGCGTATTTACATCCATAACATTGGCTCAGTCACAGATCCTGCGACCACCAACTCGTTCCGGCTTCACACACATTCTAAAAACTGCGACCGAAAGGACTCGACAGTAGATGTCGCGCTGAAGCCTTGCACTCTCACAGTGCCCTCTTCATCGATTGCTCTTCACGTCGTTATTCAGCTCTGGAGTGTTGCAAAAGAGCAGTAACTAGCTAGCAGAAGGATACTAAAAGCAATGACGGAAAAGGCAAACGCAAAACTGGAGCTGCCAAAAGAAATCAATGAAGAACCCGCACTTTCCTCGAGACAAGGGATTGGGGGTAAAACGGAGAAGCCTTTGCCAAAGAGGGGTCTCCCAGATGTGGTGGACGTGGATGAATGGGTGGACCGCATGAACAAAGTTGACGCCAAAGCAGTCCGTGCCAGTACCGGTACTAGTAGCGTCAACGATGTAGTCAACGCCGGACTCGGAGCAATCCGCGTGACCCAGGACGACCGCGATATCGATGCCAAGGAGCTTCCAGTGAGGAGACACGGGCGGGAAAAGGAGCCGGGCTCGGCCAAGCAAGGCTTCACAAATGATGTGGATGTTGATGAAGTGGCGATGCTGGTCAGGAGGCTTGAGAATGAGAGCAGCGCTATTTCAAGTGTCCCGGTTAGTAATATGGATGCATTCATCCAGTTGGGACAATCCGACTGGTTCACCATTCCAGAGCCAATTCCCCCATCCTCTAACGATAACAATAACGAAACAGAAGAAACGCAGCCAGGTGCATTCCCTCAGCGAGGTATTGGATACGAGGGGCGAGCTGGCGATGATTCAGACACTTTCAGTGTTTGCACCCAACAAGAAGGCAGCCCAAGTCCGAGCCCATTGGTATCTGAGGATGCACCTGGTTGTATGATTCACACTAATCACCAGCAAGCTCTTGCAACTTGTTCTCATTTGCCATTGGAAGGCTTGGTACAAGCTAACCCAGTGGAACATTCTTCTGGTGAATTCGTCGTCACACAAGAAGCCAGGCAAATTGATGACCTGGAATCACAAAGAGAAATGAAGAAGGAACAGCAAAACAGCAAAACAAAGAAACAGCTTACACTGATGGCTTTACTGGCTGCATTACTGGTGGTTGGTGTGATTGTGGTGGTGGCTGTGGCTTCCAGATACAAGAACGACGAGACTAGTCTTACCAACACAACGGTCAAATCCAATGACGACAATAGCACGATGCCAACAGCGGACAGCGATGAATATGACACGTTTTCTCTCATCAGTCCCTATTTGTCCAATACCACTCGCTATGCCATTGAACAAGAGAGAGATTCTGGTGCGAATGTTTCCTCCTCCTCCTCCAGTCCTCAGTACCGGGCCTATCAATGGCTCCAAGCCGATCCCTGGAAACAGAACTATACCACGGTCCACCTTTTGCAGAGATTTGCTTTGGTGACTTTCTATTTTGCCACCAATGGTGACCATTGGGAGAACAATGGAGTGGGAGGTGTGCAAGAAATAGATTATCGAGAATTTGATACACCTCCATTGCGAGCCATCCTGGCAGGTTCTGGACCCCCACAAGACGCCCCTGGTGGTGCTGCGTCTCCGTTGGCCGGTAGTGACGAAGTACACCCCCAGGACGAAGAAAGCAATGCTAGCAACTCTACCGAAAATGGTCAAAGAGACTTGCAGCTAAGTCAAAACGACCTCACACTGACCGTCCCCTCAGAAATGTGGCTCTCCTACAACACCAGCGAATGCATGTGGTTTACCTACACACCCTTTCGATTTCAAACAGCTTGCAACGAGGACAATGCATTCCAATACCTAGACCTACCACAAAATGGTCTTGGAGGGAGGTTGCCTGCAGAGATCAGCCTTTTGACAGGCCTTAAAAGTCTCTATCTCAAATGGAACAAAAACATCGACGGACCAATCCCACCATCAATTGGAGCATTGCAGCAGCTGGAAATCATTGAACTAGGAGACAATCAAATAACTGGGACTCTTCCTAGAGAACTTGGTTTGCTGCAAAATCTCTGGACATTGAGTGTCCTGAACAACCAGCTCCATGGGACACTCCCAAAAGAACTCCTTCAAATGGCCAACCTGGAAAACCTCATGGTCGGTCGTAATGACCTGACAGGGAGCTTCTTCTCACCTGATGACGCAATCTGCCAAAGGTGGCCCAAGCTGAGAACTGTCATGTTGGGGCGAAATAAAATGGAAGGTCCATTACCGGCATTCGCCAACTGCTCAAACTTGGGGGCTATCCATCTCAATAGCCAGGGTTTTGAAGGTACCATTCCAACTGAATGGGGGAGCTTGGCCAAACTCCAGAAGATACTTCTTTATGCAAACCAAGGCATTGCAGGACCTGTGCCAGACTTTGGACACCTTGCAAATCTTACTGAATTTAAGGTCGAGGGAACCAGCATCACAGGAACAATACCTGAGGCGCTCTGTGCTCGACGGGGACCAAGAGATCTTCCTGTTGCAAAGTTTGACTGCTCTCCCCAACTCTGCGGCTGTGATTGCCCTTGCAACTAACATTTCGAAAACTAGAAGATGGACAGGACAGCAGTGTTCGTTTCTCATGATCAAGTTTGCGCAAGCCAATACCAGACGCTAACCAACCTAACACTGACCCCAACCGTAACAGCTGCAACTTGAACGTTGTCATTACCTAGTACGATACTGCTTGTAGAGATGTTCAAAGCTCGCGCCTCAAGGGTACTATAGTAAAGGTTAGGTTTGCTGTGAGCAACTCTGGGCCAAGACATTCCGGTTGTGTATCTATCTTAGCAAAGGCAGGAAGAGCCGACGAGCGACGTTAGCTGCCACACGTACGAAGACACTGGTTTCAGAACCAGCAACGAGGAGGAGTGGAGCCAACGATCCACCATCTGGGGCTGGATCCTCACGGTACGGGAAGCAAAGAGGGGAGCCAAAGCACTGGGTTGCACGGTGATCATGTAACGCTAGAAAATAGTGGACTTGCCTCACGGCTGGCAACGATCGACCGCAGCGAAACCCGGTGGCTCAAGAGATCGGGAGGGAGCAAGTGTAGCGACATCGGAAACATGACAGCCCATTTGGACCGGGGGGGGGGGCGGCGAGACGGCGCCAGCACTCTAGAAAGGGGGAAGCGGAAAGTAGAGATCATCAACGGGTCCAATTGGCAACCAAAGCGCTATGGGTTCCTTTTTAAAATTAAGCTACAAAGAAGAACCAACTTATAGACAAGGCAAAACATGAAAAGTGCGACCTTCACCCAAGGACCAGGACATTCGACGACGACGAGACTTGAAGATGCAATCCTACCATGAGAGGAAATGTGAACTGAGCTTTGTTGTCTTTGAGACTCGACCTCGTGCACGAACGACCACCGGCGCCATTGTGAAAGACAAGAGGAGGAAAAGCAGAAGTTGGTAAGACTTGTTGCAATCACAGAACGAGAAGTGAAAGACTGTTTGGGCACCACTTTCCGGCGGAGAGGAGCGGCTCCAAAGAGCACCGGAAAATGGCACCATTGTGAGTTTGTGAGAGGAATGTGAACTGACCTTTCTTGTGGACGAGACTGGAACACGAACGGCCAAGGCATCATTTGTCAACGGCCAACAGACCTAGGAGGAGAAGACAAGGGTTTGAGGCGCCACGGTTTGCTTACAGTAGGAAACTTGCATTGATTGATAGACAGAAGAACAAACGACGATGCGCCAAACAGAAGACTTGACTGTTACCTTGCACGAGGACGCTCCATCTCTAGCTGGAACCACCGCAAGATGACACCTTTCCCAGCGGACCAACGTTCAGTGAAGGCAATGAGGACCAGCCCCGGAAGACTGACCCCAATGCCCTCTCAAGGTTCAAACGAACTCCGAATTACTACGGTAATGACAGCACTGAAAAAGGTGCCATCGTCATGCATTGGAAGAAGAAGTAAGTTGTGCTGTGCGAGAAAAAGAGCTTGCTTGACAACGGCGTTTCAAGCAATTCAGCCAACGGGCGTTTCATTTTAGCGACATCTTTTTGGCAAGACCAACTCAAAATGGGCAAGGTGTCAGCATCAACATTTTTAAAATGGAGTTTGTCATCGTTTATCAATTCTGCCGTTTTTCAAAGGAAACGTCGCTGAAGGTTCGAGATAATTGTGGAATTGTTGGAGGGACTTGGGTTGCCGCCTACCAGGTACGGTAGCTATGCATACTAGTATCCACAACAACCCCTCGCCTTTCGTTGCTACCTATATGTAGCTTCAACACAGTGTGTGGTATGGACCAGCAGGAATGAGTTGCGCTGAATCGAAAGTAGAGGTCTGTGCAGAAGAAGACGTGGCCTGGAAGGAAGAAATCATATTTACATATTTACATGTACATTCAACTCGATCGCCTCAGAAGTAGCCAAGGGAGCCGTTGCCGTCAAGAGGAACCACCGACCATCATAGAGGATCTGAGCGCCATGGTGAGATGGCATAGCGTCGTATTATATTATTAGCAAGAGAGATCATGGGTGCCATCGTGATGATGTGTCCTTCCATGGAAGGCGGATGTGCATGGTGGAACAGAAGCACGGTAACGAAAGAAAAACAACGGCAACTTGACGTTGGCTTTGGAAGAAATGGAAGCCCGCTTGGCGCAGGCTAGGGAGTCGAGTCAGGGTTGGAATGATCATTCGTGGATACCGGTACCTGCTGTTTAATTAAAACAATAAATGGCAGGTTGAGGCTTGGTCAGCTGGCGGACCTCGCCAAGTTTGGCGCCAAGCCAAGTGACCAAAAAGATCGTCTTTGTTTGGCTGGATCCCATTTTGACATGGATCTGTTCCACGCATCTCACACCTGACTTTTATTTCTCTGAGAAGATACCAGTACTTGTAGGAACAAAAGTTGGGAGAGTATGATGTTCCGCTTCGCCACAGCTTGTGGCCTGGCTACTGCCATGCTTTCAAGCCATGCGATCAGCGCCCAAGCAACCGTAAAGCTCCCATTGGAAGCTTCTGACGACACTCCATGGCAAGATCTCGCCGATGTCGTGAGCTCCCCGGATGTTCTAACTGGTCCTACTGATCTGAATCAGTGGTATGAACAGTGTGTCGATCCCTTTGAACTAGAGGAAATTCCTCCCGAGTGGAACGACTTTGGCTATGCCGTTGTTAGCAACTATGACCTTCTGAATGTCACTTCTGGTTTGTGTTTGGATTTCGTCAGTTGCGCCTTTCAAAACTGCATCTGGCCGACACCCGAAGGAATTGACTCCTTTCCAGATTTTCCAATCTGGGATTTTGACACAAATCAAATCAGAAGTCCCCATGCCTTGCTACCAGGCACTGGCGATGATTTCTTGGCTGCCGTCCTGTCGGAAGAAGCGGAACCCTTCCATAACTTTCCCGCTCGTGTAGTGAATCCACGTGTAGTAGCAGATATCGTCCATGCCGTCAATTTCGCTCGCACTAATGAGATTGGAATTACCGTCAAGGTCAATGGGCATTCCTATTTTGGAAGCTCTTCGGCCCGCAAGACTCTACTGGTGAAAATGAGCACCTACTACCCCAAGTATGATGATCTGGGTAGTCTCATGGAATGTTTGGATTATGAGACAGAACTGGAGGAAGACAGCGCCAATTACATGGCATGTGCACTGGCCAGTGCTAGAGGCAAGAATGCCATCTTGCGAGTTGGTGGTGGTTCCTTTTTTGATCATGCCTACCGAGCAGTGAGTGTGACATGGAATCAAAACCCAGAAAATGCCAACAAGTATCATCTTGTTGGCGGTGGAGCTGGCTCTGTCTCGGCAGCTGGTGGATGGATGGCCAGTGGAGGTCTGAGTGGAACCACAGGAATGCGCATGTATGGAATTGGTATTGATCAAGTGTTGCATTTGGAAATGGTGCTGCCCAGTGGCACTCATGTACGATTTGGACCCAGTGAATGGGACGAAGCACCAGGAATGATCACGCCTCAAACAACCCAGGTCACAGGATTCTGCAACTACCAGTGGGAAATGCCTGAAGAAGATTGGGAGTGGACGGAATGCACGGGTGATGATGCAGATATTGATTTCGACGAATTGTGGTTTGCCGTTCGCGGCGGTGGCGGCGGGACATGGGGAATTGTCACCTCGCTCCACTATCAACTCCATGATTATCCTGGTGAACTGTACCTCATGAGCAATCAACCAGGCATTTTTGCTGGGTACGAAGAGTTGGCAGCAGACATCAATGCTGTGTACACCTTGACTCTGCTCTATGTTCGATTTGCTTTGGGGTTCCTCTATCAACCCTCGTCCATGAATGTCACGGAAGCTGAGAGCCGAGGATGCAATTCTGCGAAGACTTTTGGCCTCAACCCCTTTGTACCCACCACACTGTTCTGCTATGGATCATCGGGGCCAAAATTGATTGAAGCATGGGCCGAGTACATCTCAGGTGATGAGCAGCTAGCTGCTTTGACCGCAGCGGGTGCTCCGGATGACTTTATTGCCATACTACCTACCCTTTTTCAGCTTCCAGAACTAACAGCCCCATCCTATGCAGACTTTGGAATATTCTCCTCATCCTTTGACCCTCTTTGGAACCACCAAGGGAGAATTCCAGATAACCCAAAGGCCAGTCTGGTTCCCTTCATTGACGGTTTTCCCAGCCTTGCTGATTCCACAAATACACACTTTCCACTCAGGGTGGTTGAAGAACAGTTCGATGCACTGACTGAATTGATTACAATCGACACCCTGTATGCTGGCGACGGCCAGCTTATCTATGCAACAGGTGGTGCCATTCCTTATGCCGATGATGGACTCAACGCCTTGTCACCAACCAGGCGATTTGCTGCTTTTCAGAAGGCAGTTAACAATGAAACTACGAGGAGCCGCTACTATGAACTTTTCTATAGCGATGCTGACATGTCAGCGCCCTTTCCTGGCCAGGCTTGTCACAACCATGCTCATGTCTATGAAATGGGACCACTCAAGGACGATTGGACTCGGGCTTGTTCGCTTGATTGGCCTCAAGCCACGAGAGAAGAACTATGCATTGCACAAGGAGAGAACTTTTGGGGCACTGAGAATCTGGCCCGCCTTGAAACGTTCAAGGATGTCATAGACCCTGATGGAATCTTTCTGTGTGCTGCTGGAATTGGGTACTCGAATCCCGCTGTAGAGGATGAAACCTTTGATTCTGAAGGTAGTTTAGGATCGTTCCCAAAAGAAGAGTCGGAAGATGAGGAGGCTGTTCCAGATGTGGCTGTGGCTCGCCAGGAAAGTCCTGGTGACGGAGAAGACTAGTATAAGCTCTACATTGTCATGTGTAAACTGTTTGTGGCGACGATGAAGAAAGGACATGCTGTCTCCACTGTCCTTTCGACCCAACACCAGACACTAAAAGAAAAAATTGGCATGTACTCAATCTAAAACTCAGGACATTCTGTGCAATAGTGGCAAACGTTCGAAGAAGCCACAATTGTGCAGCTAGTGCTGGACTCTGTCTTCTGTCTACTAGTAATACTAGATGTGGCGATCCTGGGTACCAAGCTGAGTTTACGTTGTATTCGCGACAGACTCCCGGGTCAAAAAAGTACCTGGTACTGGGCGAGAACGACGCGTGAGATTCTCTTTTGTCATGATCCATGCGCAGCTTTGAAGCGGCTTTAGAGACAGGAACATCCAATGGCAGTGACGAGTGCGAACGTCGGACGTACATGTGTCAAAGCTGCCAACTTCCTCGATTGATAACTCATACCAATCAACAACGCAGCCCATGCAAAGCAATCAAATGATCCACAATCCACAAGTCTTTGTCAGGTGCCTGAACCTGTAGCAGTGCGCGGGATGCAACTGCTTCAAGATGGCTATACGCTTCATGTACGAGGCACCAAAGCAAAAAGGTCTCCATGGCTGGCTCAGAGCCAGCGAGCAGTACGAGAGTGTCGGGAAAACTGCTCCGAGCTTGCAACTACCGGTACAGCCATGAAGGAGCTAGCCATGCAACGTATCGAGTCCCACTGAACGATGAAACCTTCTTTGGCAATTTGACTACGTGGCTTGCATTTTCCAGTCGAGAGCCAACAACGCATTACCGGTGCACCTACCAAAATGATGCGGACCGGTCAAGGGGCAGCCAGATCCTCGACTCGACTCGACGACTCGACTCCACTTGTTTCTCGTCATCATCAGCAAATCGTCAGATTGTGCCGCAGCCATTGGGATCCTCTGAAAACGTACCGGTACGTACGATGTATCGCTGGGGCTCTCTTCTAACTTCAACGTTTCTCTCTGGTGCGTGCAAAGAGCAAGTCAAGTCTCACTAATTCTAGCTAGTACAGTGGAATTTCAAGTTGATGAGCAAGGCACTGATTCTTCGTTCTTGCTCGGAGCGGACAAGCTGGTGCTCTCTCTGAACTCTGAAGTACGGTGCGTATGACCCAAATAGCCCTTCCACGTTGCGAGTCCTCAGTCATTCAATTTGCAGCAATGAATGATGAATCTCCTTGACGGGTGGCTGGTGAGCGACTCGGAGGCAGGCGGCGAAGAAGGGGAACAAACTTAGCTGCACTGCTGAGCGAGGCAGCACCCATCGACTCGCATCGTACGTCTTGCTTGGTAGTACAGGTATGTCGCTGAGAATGCAACCTCAACATACAACCGTCAGTCAGCGATTTGAAGAGAGCACCAATGCAGACCGTCGACTAAATTAATTTTGTGTACCAATGACACGTACGAAGGCGGCTCTTACACAGCCAGCCAATGCACCACTGGCTACATGTACTAGTACAATCTCACAGCGAAATCGCTTGAAGGAACCAAACTACAGCACCTGCTAGAGCAGGACATACTAGTACGTTGGCTTTCTCTGTAGGTGGTGGCTTTCCGAGTCTCCGACAAATTGAATGGGCGACGTTGCATCCACTCGTCATGACTTGCGGCTGGTGGTGGGGCTTTGGAGAGATGATGAGGTGACGGTCTTGTGAGTAAGACGACTGAGTCGAGTCACACTAAGTCTTTTTCCTTGCAACCGTAGAATGCCACGTGAGCTCGTGATTTTTTGGAGTTTTAAAAAATAATAAAATAAAGGGTTCAATTCGACTTGATTTTGAAAGTCGAATGACTCCATCGATTCAATCGAATACCGTTATGCCTCCGCTCTTGTCAAACAAAAGCGGTCATTGCATGCATTTACTGTACCGGCAGGTACAGTACCGTTTGTGTTCCAGGAAAGCCGAAAAGGAACTTGTGAGTTTTTTAGAACGACGGATGACTGAAACTGGGATGACGTAGGCGACAACATGGAAAAAGGATCCATCGTGGCTTCTCGATGCCTTATGTACCGGTACCGGTATCTTGACACGCCTCATTCACCGTGATCAGTGAGTTGAAAACCTCAAGCAGCGCTGAATCTTCCGATGACGTTGACGGATTCTGAAATTTTGGAGCGAAGTGACAGCAGGTTTCAATAAGACTCGAAAATGTCAACGTGGCATGTTGGGCACAAGCTGCCGAAAAGGACTGAATGATAAGCCTGGCCTCAGGAACACTCACGATAAAAGATTTATCAGCCTAAATGACCATCTTCCAACCTCTAAGTCATATAGCCTAAGACTCCTTAATCGTGAATGTCGGAGAATGTAGGAATTCTGAACTGGATGTCGGAAAATGTCGGCGTTTGTATGAGAATGTCGGCGTTTGTCGGAAAATGTCTGCGAAATGTCGGAAGGTTTCTCAGACATTTAGCGAGATTTTTCCGACATTTAGAACGGATGACTTTCGCCGATTAAGTCTTGGATAGTACTCTTTGTTCTATAAGAAGGCTAGCATTCGGAATGATTTAAGCTCATTCAACGGTCCTCTAATCGTCAATGTCGGAAAGGCTCGCTGAAATGTCGGCAAAATGTCGGCAAAATGTCGGAAAATGTCGGCGTTTGTACGAGAATGTCTGCATTTGTCGGAAAATGTCTGCAATGTCGGCACTTTGTCGGAAAATGTTGGGAAACTTTCCTCTGTCATTTAGGCTATATGATTTAAGCGCTATGCGGTCTTATATCTTTGAAAATGACTTTATCGGGAGTGTTCCAGAGGCTGCCCCAATTCTGAAATCAAGGCGTCATTAAAAAGAAGGCAGTCCAGTCATTCGTTTCTCGGAACTCTATTGCCTTTCTTTGAGCTAAATGCTTCGAAGTGCTGTGTTTTCAAAGCTAACTTTCTCGAAAGAAGGAGTGGCTGACATCGTCTTCGCATCACCTTCAAAACGAGGGTGACGTAATGTCGATCGGCGTAAGCTAATTGGAACATCTTGAGCCTTGCTTCCCTTCAACTCTCCGCGGAGCTCTCTGCAGGTACCAGCCGGTGCATGGTACATTTCCATTCCGATTCCGATACGTTTCATGCTCACAATTTTGATTGTATCGAACACTGACCTATCAATGTGCAACAACAAGACAAAGACCACCGTGACCATGACGCTTGAAAACGTTGAAAACTGTGGTATCTCCGCTCTCAACAACAAAGCCATCCAACTGGTGCAGCAGGGTGAAGGCCGCAATGCGGTCAAGGTCCTTCTTCAGGCTTTGAGCACACTCAAGTTGGAGGTATGCAGTGGAAAGACCTGTGCGTCGGCAGCGGCCTCAGACTCTGGGGCTGCCTTTGTGAGGATTGCTTTGCCCAGCCAATGCAGTGCTGACAATGCAGCTCTTAGTACGTATGACACTCTGTTTGGCATTACCTCTTGTGTGAATCCATGTGCGCCTCAGCAACGAGACGGCAGCACGGCTTGCCTGCTGTACAACATGGCACTCAGCCATCAACGATGCACCAACAGCGTGAGTCAACCCAAGGCTCGAGTGGCTCACCTGAAGAAAGCTGCAATGACGTACAACATGGCCTTCTCAGCGGCTCAGCATTGGAAGAGGTGGACGGACATGCACTCGGGGTACCAGATTCTGTCACTAGCCATTGTGAACAACCTTTTGGTGATCCACTACGAGCTAGGAAACACAGAGAAAGTAGCTCAGCTGCACACACTGTTGCGGGATACCTTGTTTGGTCAAAAGGGAGATCACATTAGCAGCCAAGAGCTTTCACTTTTCGCCAAGAACCTATCACGCTGCACGGGTGAGGCACCACCAGCAGCACCTAGTGTAGCCGCTTCATCAGGGTCATGTACGACATCTGGTTGTGATGCCGGAACAGCAGCAACAGCAGCTCACGGACAACCGACGCTGATTGTGCCACACTCGGCTTGAATTGATTGGAATCCACGGGGACACACCAGCCGGCTAGCTATCTAACCACCAGTAGCCACCATCATCATTTGCAATGCTCTCGTCTCCCGGAACAGGATACTATATGCATGCTTTCATTTCACCAAGACGCATTGCTGTTGCCTACTACAGGAATAGGTATCATAAGGACCACCATTTAGAATAGAAATATATCATAACCACAAGCGTTGAAAAGAAACCCAACCAGATAGCCGTTCTTCCCTAGTCAGCCTTCACCTCCCGGGGGCTAGCTTGTCATCTGGCTGAGCATGACCCAAGCAGAAGATCGAATGTGGCTCCCGTTATCCGTTTCGCTTTCCCCCTTTTCAACCACCAGCTGTGTTTCATGGTTCACTAAATCCACTCGACATCGTGATAATGTTGAATGTTGAATGGTGAATGGTGGCCAATCGTCTCCTTAGCTAATAATTCCGTTATCAATCGTCAACCAATTACTCCGAAGACCACATTTTAGCTCGATACCTACAGTACCGTTACTAGAGCTCTAGTAGTAGCTAGTAGAGCCCATACATATACATGTTGTAGTCGGTGAGCTGCTTCACTCCTCTTCTCACACTAGCTAGAAAGCCCTCGTGGCGCCTCACCGGTGGTACCACTTTCAAACTTGCTAGTAGCCAGTCAGTTGGCTGCAACAGCTGTTGCAAACGTAAAACAATACTATCCCTGCCAGTCCTGTCCTAGCCAGTTATTAGTAGTAGTGTGTTTTGCTTAGGTCAAAAATAGCTCCCCAAGCACAAAAGTAGCTCTGGGCTACCTGGTTGCTTCCTTGATGGCTTGATCTTGATGATGCCTGAACACGAAAGATTCCAGAAGGCACTCAAGGCAATCCCCCGGCGCCAGCCAGACGTCCTGGCATGGAGCTGGGTGCTGGGGCCTCGGTTCTCCTGGGTTACTCGGCATTCTGTCTATTTAAGCTATTGTATCTGATTACAGAGTTGCCTAAATGTTCTATGCTCCTTAGAAAAAATGGCTTATGTCTCACAATGTCTCACTTTGTCTACCAATGTCTCACAATGTCTCACTTTGTCTACCAATGTCTACCAATGTATCACTTTGTCTACTAATGTCTACCAATGTCTCACTTTGTCTACACAGTACAGTAAAACAGTACAAAATGTCTCACTTTGTCTACCAATGTCTCACAATGTCTCACAATGTCTCACTTTGTCTACCAATGTCTCACAATGTATCACTTTGTCTACTAATGTCTCCTAAAGTCGCACAATGTCTACTTTGTCTACTTATGTCTACTAACAGTGTGTAGACATTTACATAAGGATCACTTAATCGCCAAAACACTGACAAAATGCCGAGTAACCCTGCCTGAGGTAAGTTCCTATCCGCGATCATGTGGTTCGGTAGTACACCGAGAAACACATTTATTTCCATTTAATAATGGCATATTAATCGCGTATGTGGCTTCATTCTTAACCATTCGCAGATACGTCATTCGCGAACAAAAAAAGAGTCGCAGGGCGAGCCACAGCGTTTCATTCGATTCAATGAATTGAATCGAATGCTTCAATCGAATGCTTCAATCGAATCGAATCGAATCGAATCCAAATGGACTACTGGCATGATTCCACTTTTAGGTCAAGTGGAGCTACTAGACTATAGCAAGATCATGTCAATATGGGTCTATAGAGGTTGTAAACCTCCCCTCCAGACTAGGATCCAGGCAAAGGCAATGGCCCTGGTTATACCAGAGAGGCCTGCTGCATGTATCACAGACAGACCTACTTCCATCCAATTTACCCGGGCGGGAGGGAAGGGAAAAAAGGAAAATTGGTGTCGGGCGGCTGCAACTCTGGTTCAGAAAAAGTGAACCTGATTTGTAGCCGCCCGATTAGTAGTCCTTCTAGCTAGTCATCAACACCACATAGCACACCACCTGTGCACCCGAACTTCGGTCCACCACCTCATCCTTTGGATGAGTGGCTCTCCCGGATTCCTGTCCGTCAGTCTCCCTTATGGTCGGCTCCCTGTTAACTCATACTCTCCGTTTCTGTAGAATCTCTTCATTCCCTGTCTGGGAAGGTGGGCGATTCACTTTTAGGTCAAGTGGAGCTACTAAACTATAGCAAGATCATGTCATCTCTCCTCTTTTTC